GTTGAATTAATTGACAAAGCATCACATCCTTTTATCACAGAAAGAAATCAGCATTTTTCTTACATATACCATATATATAAATCTTTATTAAGTAGAGACTCAAATAGATATTTTAGCACCAGATATCTATTCTAGAGTTTGTAATCCTTGTTGTAACAATTGTAACATTACTGGATACACTGTAGCGAATTCCTTGCCTTGTCTTGCTCTTACCGATTGCACATAAGCCTCTAATGTCCCCCTAGTTAAAAAAAAAATATATAACCATATGTTATGGTATATTCGATAACAATGACTATTGTATTTCAAGCTATATTATGAAAAGAATATGAAAAGAAGCACTTTACTTTATCCAAGCATATGACATTTCATTATTTTTCATACCTGACCAATGTTAGCCTCTCTTTTTCTGAAGTATGTTCATCTAACCATTGCGAATAACGACTTGCAGACCAATCAGCAACCTAGTAATGCAAAAATATTGTCACATGTAGAAAATGGAAATGATAGACATCGTTTAAATATATAAGTTTGGTATTCCAAAATACCACATCAGTCTTAAAGTACATACATATGTGTGTATAAAAATATAACTGTTATATCGTTAGTCATATATAAAGAAAAAATAAATAAATTCTCTGTAGTATATGCTATAATATTTAGATAGGAGAGTTTGCTAGACAAACATCATGTCATGCTTTTGGCATGTGACTGTTGCTGTATAAACACACTGATACCCATAGTACCAGTAGCATAACAACAAAGATGCATGTGGTTTGATACGTGGATTTTGTTCAACACACTCACACATACACACAAAAGATTCATGCAGTGTTATGTTATGAAACATGCAAATATGAATGAAATATCACTCACCTGGTGAGGTGACTTGAGATCAAGTGGTGCCTTGGCAAACAAGAAATGTAACACAGTACTATAATGTATGATTTCACCCAGTGCCGAACTATTAACTATATGCTCTGCAGTTTGGAATAATAATGGTCTAAATGATCTTATTAATTTATAGTGACGTCCAAGGTCTGTTATCCTTCGACAGAATGGTGCAACAGCTAATTCCATCTGTTGGGGAAAGATAGTATTAATGTAAACATGAATTAGTTACATTTCTATGCACAGCTTTGTCAATGATTTAATAGTAACTTAGTATATACTGTAAAAAATGTTGATTTAGTGCATACAATTTAGCGTATTTGACTCAATGCATGAATTAACAGAATCTTAATTTAGCTTAATTTTTCGTGAGATATACTTTTTGTTAAATTAAGTACATATTGAATTAGCGAAATTACAGATTAGTTAAATTAGCTAAAATAGCATGCTAGCTAAAAAGACATGCTTTACATTAATAATTGAGTCAAATTTGCCAGTCATTTGGTGCCAAGAAAAATTAAGATTTATAGTAACTGTATTAAAGTGGAGAACGATTTTATTTAATTTAAAATATCAAATTATTATTAATTTATGTTAATTTGCATGGCAATTCTCAGCATCTCATATTTTTCGATTTCTCAGCAATCATGTGACTTTTGACCTTATGGGGTTGATCTATTTCATCTTCCACTATACAACATGAAATATGGGATTTTCAAATTTACTTTTTGTTTTAAGTAAATACTCTGTTGTCGCTTACTCATGATGCAATGCATAAAAGAAATCAAAGTTAGTTTATCTTTCTATGTGTACATACCTGGGCAAAATCAGCTGCCAGTTTCATCTTGCCCCCTTCACCTAATGGTCTTAGTAAGCTAGCATGGCGTACAAATAATTCAATTGATCGGCAAGCCAATGGCAGAACACTGGAGAGATAAGGATATTGGAATTTTTAAACACAATATTTATAACTGGAAATAATTAAATCAGTTACAGTTTGCTACACACAAGAATCATCATGGTATCATCATATAATATCATATAACGACTGATTACTATTCATAATAAAAAAGTCTGTTCTTGATGGATAAAGAGAAGATACATGCTCATTATTATTATGTCCACTTAATGTCACACTTCCAGGTACTCCCTGGGGGTATTGTTGCTCTAATACAGCAATCATTTCAATTATTATATGAGCAACTGTGAGTTATCAAGTTTAAGTCACCGCTATTAGTATTTGAAATGAGAGATTCTTCAACCTATCTATTTTCTTATCATATTTAAAATGGAATATTCACTGAAAACAAAGATCTTCCCACTAAAAATATCTGATAGATGTCTACCCAAGAATCCTACATATACAATGGCAGTATAAATACAATTTTTTTTTACCTACATGTATTTGGAATTCGTTGTATCATATTCTTATTATTTCTCTACTGTTTTGAATTGACTACTCACCTGTCCATAACAAAGTCAGTACATTTGAATTGTGTTAAATAATCTGACTGCACTCTAGAGATAAATCCTTGCAGTTCCTTCATGTATAGAGAACACGGTCCTTCTATTGACTTCTCACCATCTTCCTTGGCAGGTCTGAGATAACACATTCATTCAAAATATAATTAAGTCATGCTTTTAGTTGAAAGCTTTTTTAACATAAATCTTTCTGACTAATGTACAGCATAGCTTTTACATAACCTCTAATTTTTGTTTGCATTCACATTTATCAAATTATTATCATGCAATGGTCACATTTGAGTCACATATTAATTGCCTTTTGATCGTTACTACTACTAAATTTACTTTGACTGTACCAGTCTATTCAATTTCCAGTGTGATGTGGTAAAATATTCACTCAAAATGAGTGGTACGAATATGATGAATGTGCAACACTAATGCAATAAATGTTTAGACTGGTTTAGAACTGTCAACCTATTTCCAATTGATTATTTTCCTGCACCAATATGTTGAATTGAGTAAATGGATATGCAAATTAACTGATTAGTATGAATAGGATCCTTTCAAAAACTTGTATACTCAATCACTTACATTTACTGTTGAATGAGGTACTCAAAAAAAAAAAAAAAAAAAAAAAATTAAACGCAATTTTCTTTAGTTCTTTTTTTTTTTAAATGATGAAAAATAAAGTATTAAATATGTATAAAGTGCTCACCCCGAGAAATCTTCATTATGCATTGTAAGTATGATTGCTTCTACTGAGTCAGCAACTGAAGTGAGCAACGGTTTTATAGCATTGGACATTAATTGTACTACATCCTGAAAAGGATACAAACAAATATCAATTATAAAACAATCAAGTTTATATCATGTTGCTGGAATTTATAAGCAAAAGTATATAATTTGGAGTAAAGAAACCTGAACAAGAAGAAAAAGATGAAATTTCTGTCACTGTTTTTTTTTTTGTCATTTGAACCATGCAAAACACACGTTACAATTTTATTTCGAGTTGTTCCTCTGTGACATTACTGCAATTAAGATGAGTAAATTTATAATGTATTCAAATTGCATTCACACTTTGCAAATCTGTGGTTATCCCGCAATTAATATGTAGACCGAGATATGCAGAGATGCAAAATATGAAGCAGTCCTCGTAAATCAAGTCACATTTATATACAAAAGAAACTCACTGAGTTAGTTTTCCTCAAAGGTAAGTTACATTGTAGTTTTGTTTGTCTAATGGTTAAGAATTTTCAGTACACTCCAAATTAAATGTGGAAAGGTTGGGGAAAGATATCTACTTTTAATATTTTAGCAAAAAACAAAATCATTTTTACGAAGTATACAAACAAATGGTACATGTTTTCATCATCAAATGAAATTATGCCCATAAGGTTCAAAATTTGAATATAAAAAAATTAAAAAAAACATAGCAGGAATACTAATAGTGTCCATAGGGTTAACATTGTACCAACCTGCAGTGAGTTCTGTATAGCCTCTATAGCTTGTTCTGGGAAGTTACTGATTCCAGAAATAACCTTGGTGATTGCTTGATGCAAGTAAAAGAGACTATTGACTACAGCAGCATTTCTCGTCTGTCCATTGGTGGGTGGACCAATAACTTGACTGGCTTCACCATCCGTTGAGAGCAGCTGTTCACTTTTCACTGTATATAACTGTACTGTTTTGCTAACATTACGTGATATGGTAATACTTAGGCCATCATCAACGCTGGCAACATTCAACTCACTGAAAATACGATAAGCAGAAAATATATAACTGGAATACAAAATTGACAAATCTAATGTTGTGATTATCAATTCTAGGTTGGAGACTCTTTTGCAGTCACTGTCAACTTTTGTTGCATTCCAAAAAATAGTTCATTACTAAATAATTTATTACTGTTTACTTGTTTCCTGTAAAAAACTTAAAATTCACAAATTTATGATCAAAATCTGTTTGTTCAGCTCCAAATAAACATTAAAGTTATATTCTGATGGTTTTTGAGAACTTTAGAAGAAGTAATATTCGTTGTTTAGTTTAAATATATTTGGCACTGCTTGGGCTTTCAGTAGGTTTTAAATTCAATGTTTTGTAAAATATGCCGGGGAAGTTAACTTTGCATATTAACTGTGTTTTAAATTATAGCATATTTAGTAATCAGTAAAATAAAGTTAAAATAAAACATCCCTTTTTATTGATATGATGTCTGAAAAACTGATGTCAACATACCTAGCAATAGTTTTTATGATATTATCAACTTCTTCATTGGAGGGCGGATTAGAAGCACCAGAGAACGCTAGGTTAATTGGATCAAACAGTCGAGATAACGATCTTGATAAATAAGCATTTTCAAAAGGTGACAATGATTCTTTTAATGCTTGTTCAGGACTGAAATTAAAATAAGAAAACGTTGCATTGTGTAATGGCATGTGTTGGATTGCTAGATTACTTACACACAGATGTCAAGAATAATATCAGACAGAAAACTTGCTCCTTCATTTCAAATAATCATGATAATAAATATGAAAATTGAGCAAGAATTGTGCAACTCTTTCAGTATGCATGTGATACAAAGCAGATGGAGATTCATAGAAAGACTGTGTGGTTGTTATTTTCACAAGAAATTCATACAACCAC